GAGAGAGAGAGAGAGAGAGAGAGAGAGAGAGAGAGAGAGAGAGAGAGAGAGAACACGGGGCTGGGGACCCTGCCTGTGGCAACGGTTGGCTGGGGACCCTGCCAAGCAGAAGGGCAGCGCTGAAGGGGTGGTCGGCACATACAGCATGGGCCAACGTGGACAATCGCTTACCCACACCATGAGTAGCACTCAAGTATGTTACGTCAAATGTTTTATGGAGTTGATCAATTCCATTTTGAATCATTTTTTTTAATGGATAGTGGGCCTCGTCGACTGTAGGTTCACGCCACCGTCAAGAGCGAGAGAGGCAGTCGGTAACCACAAGGGAGCACAGAGACGTGCAGGCGTGGCGAACATGGCAGCCTCCCAAATGATGTGGCTGACTGTTTGGCAAGGCTCATCAGCAATTCATGGGCATACCGACTGGGCTGGGCTACATATCCTATGTGAATGTGCGCACATATGCATGTGAATGGGATGTGAGAGAGGCAGCCGCACAAATTCGTTGTCCTTATCTGAATGAAAAACTATTGTGCTAGATTTTTATATGAAGGATCTGGATTTCCGATTCCCGAAAGATCTTTTCCTCCGTAGTCGTTTGCTTTCGCCATCCAACGACCGCAGGGTAGTTCCCTGACACACCCCACACCCGAGACTTGGCCGCAGACTATGCCGCCAAGAGAATCGCTATATGGAACTAGGTTTTCGCTATCCTCGCTGCACGGGTCAAGCCAATGAGAGAAGAATCAGAAGATGTATTCCACCGTGACCATCTTCCCCAACTCCAGTCTTTCCGATAAGCAAAAGAAGAGCCATTTCTTTGCTGTGCGACACACAATTCACTCCTGCACCTTTCCGCTTCAGAAAGCACCACAGCCAACACTCTGTTTTGGAGGGCCCGCTCGGGAACAGGCGAATTTTTTTTAACACGGAAGATATAACTGGAAGACCACATAGTACATAGTACATACTATTTAGTATTTGTGACATAGTCTGTCATTAAGGAAGAGATGGGTTGACGCATGGAAGTGTAAATGACGTACAAGACTACAGCAGAGAGGTT